GACTAATATACATAAAAATGTGTGTTGCTACAACAAAAACCAGAGGACAAAAGCATTGAACAGGTTACATATCATAAGCTAAATTTAGATAACATTGTATCTAAACACAACTTCTATCAGTTTTGAAACTCATGAATATTTGCAGCATATTTCTAAATCTCAGTATTTCAAGTCAGTGATCATATAAAAAACACTTAAGTCTAATATCCCATTGACAGCAAGATGACAGGATTACTGAAGAATCACTGAATAATTTTATTAACAGTGTGATCACCTTAAACTCAACAAATACATGGTGCCAACATACAGGGACTAGCAGAGTGAGTGGTGCTCACAAGTCCCCATTTTAAGACAGAAAACAAACGGACAAAAAAAAAAAAAAAATCTCAAAATGAAATATATTCCTGAGATGCAAAACAAAAGAGACAGATATAGGTATAAAGAAAAAGAAAAACATCACTACATGCGATTGTGTCACATGTTGCTGTCATCATTGTGACAATATGGACATTGGACTGATTGATTCTAGTGTCAATATTGCAGAAGAACAAAGTAGTGCACGAAAGCCAAACTGTACAGCAAAGATATAGGAAGGGTCAAAGGAGGAGCCGTGGGATTGGACATGGTCATGCCATGCTGCCATGACACTGTCACTTCAGTGGTAAACAAAACCATTAAAACTGCAACATAAAGCAAAATGTAAACCGAACCAAAAAGAGAAATATTTTATTTATATATATATATATATATATATATAACATGACTCAAATTGGCCATTACTTTCATATATATACCCCTTCACAATAAGGGATTCTGAGTTGATATTTTTAATTGTAATGGGCCTCTAATTTCTTTAAACTGGGGGCAACTCCTAGTGCCAAGGCGCATGTGTGCTTGACTGTAATATTTTTTGACCCAGATGTGCTACAGGGGCAGTGCAGTATGGTGAAAAGACTAGCAGGATGAATACACAGGGCAGTATCAGAAAGTGGACTTGGGACAAGTTTGAATCACATAAGCTCATCTCATCCCTCTTTAGAAGAAGTAGACTGGTAGGAGCAGCTTGAAGGAGGAAGCTGGAGGTGCAGAGTCGCAAGGCACAAATCATTTGCTCAGGGATGTTCTCATGTCCCCCTTTTTTTAGTTGAATTTACATTTCAGGCTACACTGTAGTCTTGTAGTAGGCTGTTATTTTATAAGATCATATCAGTGCACTTTGTCAACAGTGACAGTAGTTGGAACTATACTAAAATGTGTTTTTATTGTTATCTGTTGCCTGGTGCATACTCATGACTCTTGCTGCTGTATGATGACCACAGGTTTTAATGAGCTGAAACAGAATTTTCAAGCAGCTGTGAATCAATACAGCAAGCCACTACAAACTACTTTAATCATATTAAAATGTCTATCTTATGTGAATTGGATTGAAAAACAAAGTTAATTCACAGTGAAAGAGGCAAAACTCTGCATACATAGGTGTATTCTATGGTTTTATAAAGGTCTCTATGTGCCTTTGCCAAAATAAAAATAGCTAAAAAAAATTGTATGCAATTTTATGCCAAAATTACAACCAGTAGGCGCTGCTTAATCTGCATAAATACATAACCTCAGCTGCACAACTCCCACCTGCAGTGGAAAAAATGTGGGTTTATTTGGAGCCCGGAAATTCTCAAACAGAGAAAAGCCTAAAAATTGGACTTGTGCCCAATGAAAATGGCACTATGGCTACAGTAGGTATTACTGTCTTGTCTCCAGGATGAAATTAGAGGCTCATGATTTTGGGTAGAAACCGAACCAGTATATGGTAGAAAGCAAGGAGGCAACAAGTTTAAAGCTTAGTTTCAACCGACAACAACAAGGAAATACAACTAATAACCGACCCCAAGGTGTAACAGAGCTACAGTTGACTAATAATAATAATAAAACATTAAAAATAGTGCATGATGTTATGTGCCAGGCTGTTAAAATAACAAATTGAAAAAGATTCAGGTTTGGTCTAACTATTATAAAAAGCCATTTGCGACAAATTAGCTCATTACTATCAAGTCAAAACAAATATTTACATGCGTGTTTTTTAAAAAGAACCTAAAAATTTCACCACTTCCTAATAAATATCCATCAAATTAGTCAGAGTGCATAATTCAGTAAATGGCACCTATTTCATTTCTAATGCAAACAATTCATCATTGCAGACCTGGTTATTTATGAGTGTTGGTTTAATAGAAAACAGCCTGTTTCCCGACTTCAGAATCACCAGACTCATCAGAGTGCTCTCTTATTTCCAACATAGATGCACAAAATGCAACAGAAAACATTGATTTAAGACAATGTAAAGTAGTAGATGGAAAAAAAACAAAAACAAGACGTGATAAATTATCCATACGCAGTTTGGATCTGCTGAAGGTTTACACCCATCAGCAGTGTATCAGTAGTGTATTGACTGAAGTGAAATGGTAAAATACTGTATGAAAACTGTGGAAAAGCTACTGCATAAAAAAGGGATATTTAAAATGTAGCATGCAACCTAAATTCTACATCAGTGGTGATTCCCAACTTCTAGTTCACTCCAGCAGTGCTTGAGTTTATAGTACATAGAGAAAGACCTTAACTTGCTGACCTTATTTGCATAATGTTGTAAATTGGCCGCTGAATTGGAGACAGCTGGGCTCACTATTTTATTGCCCTTGGTAGTAATTTGCTCCCTCTTAATAGGTTAGTGCCTTGCTTTTAGGTGTTTTGTTCCAGGGGCCGCAGTGTTTATCACAGGAGTGTAGATCAGCCAAACTGATGAAGAATGAATAGTGGTGACATATGAAAAGAAACAGAAGTTGTTTACTAGGATATGTTATGTTAATTGACATTGTCTTAATGCGTGTGAAACCTTTTTTGACTCCAGCAAAAGGTTATCTTAAAAATAAATTTCTGATCTGGTTTGTATTTCAAGGATTTGATGAAGACAGATTCACATTTTCTTCTTTGGGCATAATCGTTTTTTTTTCCCCACATTTGTTTTACCAAATGTTGTAATTTTCTTTTTTGTTAATCATATTTTCTACATCACTGATCTTTCAGATTTGAAGTAGTTAAGAGCATCTCACAAACACAAGAAGTCGCTCTTTTCCAACATTAAGTTACAAATCAGTTTCAGTTAAGTTTCACTGTGGTTCTTCACTCCACAAAAATTAAACATGAAAAAGAACCAAACAAAAACATGCTAATGTGTATTACCAAAGTTTAGTTCTCACACATTATATACATGCCTTGTACCAAACAAAATCCATTAGTTTAAAAGTTTGCTAATGGGGATTACTGTATGTAAGGTCAAATGAATAACGTAATTAGACAAGGTGGCTAATATACAAATTTGAAGGAATATGAGAATCCAGAATTTAACAGCATTTTTCACAACCAACCACATTTTGGCAGACACAATATACAGCAGGGAGTTTAGAACAATTTAAACCCAAAAATATCAGAAACATTTCTTTTTATATAAAAACATGATTCAGCTTACAGTTTTAAAAAGATGCACTGTATTCTTTTTCCAGAACTGAATCAAATACAGCCTTGTCATCTTTCCACTTCCCATGTGAACAGAAGAACCATTTCACGAGGCGATCATGTAGTTGTTGGCAAAGGAACACACTTATTCATTCAGAAATGTTTGTGCTTCTCTATTTGTCTTCAGTTTTTAGTATTGGAAAGGAGACCCCTGCAGATTTATGTGCACACACACACACACACACACACACACACGCACACACACAGGCAGGACAGTTTTAAATGGAGCAGTTAGTTGGAAACAAAGGAAGAAGCGAGTGTGTATGTAGGAATTTAGGCAGTGTAGGAATTCTTCCCCTTTCTAGGGCGCTGTCTGGTACGATTGGACCAGGGAGGACGGACGGACAGAAAATGCAGAAATTTTTAGTTAAAGCTGCAAAAACTAAGATTGAGCAGAAATTCAGATAAATCAAGTAAAAAATTGTCTCCCTGCCACCCCCGGGACACTCTATCTTCAGGCCTTGTGTTTATTTCTTTTAGTGTGCAAGGCCAGTGTTGTTAAAATCCACACCACACTATTTCCATCCCACTGCTCTGAGGTTATAAGACCTGTTTTTCAAAGCACAGTGGCTCATTTCAAAGACAGGCCATGGAGGCTGCCTGTGCAGGTACAAGCCAGGATGGGAGCGAAGCTGTTAGACCCAAGAGGTCATGTTTTGTGGCACAGAAAGAGCGCAACAAAAAACGAGGCAAAACCAGGGTCAACATCGGTTTGGCATGTCAGAAACCGAGAGCATTAAAAGCATCCAAAGGACTAAAATTTGACACAGATGTGGCTTTCTTCCTGCTAGATGTCGAAGTTCCGTAGCTGGCTAACATGTATATGTTGCCATCATTTGCAAGCTAATGTTATCATTTCAATTCTGTACCATTGTGTTGAATTGTTTTGGTTGTAACTGACTGTAACTTTAGTGTTTTGTTGTCCAGTTAGCGGAAACAGCGTGTTTTCCTGGACTAGCAAGTGAACTGATTTTGCTCAGTTTGCAAATTTTTGCTCGGTTTATGGTCCAGACCACACGGTTCATTTATGTCGGACATGACGCTACGGTCCATGTAGCATTTTAGTCCAAAGTTGTTCAAATTTCCACTATCAACATAAACAGAAAATGTGGCGGGTTTGTACAGCTAGCAAAGCGTAATATGAAACATCTCTCGTTTCACATACAGCTTACGGGTATGTTGTATGTAACACTGAACGTGATGCAACAGTGGCTGGAACATTAGCACTGTATCAGTATTACTGGGAAAAATGGAAACCTCTTTATTTGACATCGTGTCGTTGCAATGCCACTGAAAACCACAGAGGCTCTATATTCTGTACACATTAGTTCTGAAGCCGGTTATTACTGCAGCACTACCTGACTGCCACAACTGTCTCTGGCAGTGAGAGAAGAGGAGGGGATACTGCTTGAGTTTGTTTTGATTCTCACTTCACCCTTAATGGTCAAAAATTAGATGGAGAAGATAGTTAATGCAGCTTTAAATTAATGTTATCCCAATTTTTTTTTACAGATGTAATAATAGGATTGGTTGCTTACCGACAAGCCAGTAAATGGACAAAAACTTGTGAAAAGCTGCCTGGACCTCAAGTTTACACAGGTATCAATCAAAATAACATTACTGTAAAGAGAAATGAATTAACACCAAAAATTCCTGTACATAATTTAACAACTCCGAATGGTTAATTTTACATTTCATGGGGTCCTTAAACTTTAAACTGATTTCATTGTGACATAAATATAAACAAAAATCTTCAAAGATAAAAGCTAAACTCACTTCAATACAATTTATACAGCTTTTAGAGAGAGGAGCTCTTTCTGTACACCTGAACCCTTTATGTAAAGAACAACTACCGTAAGCTGTGAAGAGGACACTGAAGGTGTTTTGCTAAAATGCAGCCTGGACAGGTGCAGGAATATACAGGCAAAGGTACAGAGTGACAGCAGGTTTAGCAAATGGTTTTATATACTGTATTTGATTGAGTTTATTTGATGGAATGCGTTGTCTAGCATCTTTCACACTTTTTTGGTGTGTATTCTCTGCTCTAAACAATACCAACGCTACCCTTTGTTACCCCTACCCTACTAATAAAAATCATATTACAGCCTACACTTCTGACACACCCTGTTACAGTGTTACACAAAACCTTCTAATTTTACAAGGATCAGCTGATTAATTACCAGTGATGGGGGGGTAGGGGAAGGTGGGTCATCTAAAAGTACCATATTCAGTGTGATAGGCATGTATAAGGCGTAAACAGCACAGATCTTCATTCAAATAAAAATACACAATGCTTAATCAAGAGCTGTGAGCTAAGCAATGAAATAATTGTCCAGTTAACCATCTACAAAGCATTTACATTGCTACTGACAGACAATACATGAAGGCATTGACAGAAGTTCAGTGGCGTCTGTATTTTTAGGCACCGTGTTGATGTGAAATAGGATATGCGTTTGTGGGAGTGTGTGAACAAAGGGGATAGAGAACGTGTTTGCGTGTCTGCTCAGAGGGAAACGGCAGAGGAAATGGATGAGGAATCATGTCAGAAGCAGTCATGGTAGATATACTGTACAGATTTTCAGGATGTCAAAGAAGGACAAGAGGAAAAATGTGAGAAAGTTACCGTTTCGGCAGCAGTGGCCAGCTGCCTGTGAAAACCGGCTGCCAAAAAGGAAATAAAGGGCAAGGAAGTAAATGAGAGAAATGGGCTCAACAAAAGGCAGTAATAAGAAAAACACCTGGGGAACTTCTCTGTCTGTGGACAGCCTATGGGTTCCTCAATGTCACGACCAGGGCAGGGCATCAGAAGTGGAGAAGAAAAGGGCAGACAGAGCAAAAAAGAGATACAGAAGCTGAAAGAGGGGAAGAGAGCTGCACAGCTCCCTCCACAGTCTAAATGAAGTATTCTTTCTTTTCTTCTGCATGTGCATGGTTGCCTTCAGCGTTGATGATGGCTGTGTCAGCGTCGGGCGCGTCGTCTGCTCCTTTGGCCTCGTTTGTCAAGTATGTTCCTGGAGAAGCGGAAAACAAACCTTTATCAAGGAAAACAAATACCAAGCAGTGCCGCACGGTTTTTGCTGCCTGAGGCAAAAAAACACACCATCAGTAATGCTACAATATTCATATACAGGATGATGAGAAACTAAGATAGCACAGGATATGAAGATGCAGCAGAGTAAGTGGGTGAAAACCCTGCCTCAGCAACACCTTTATTGTTCTCAGTGGAGAGGGCGAAGGCTTACAGTTGCATGGTCAAATAAAGTGATGCAGATTTCAGCTGAACATAGGAATTTAATGTTGTAGCATCATTTTGATTCTCTCCCTTTAGCTGAGCCACTAAGCGTATTAGCTTTGTATGCTCCATGCTGTTATTTTCAGATTTAGCTGGGCCATGCAGAAATGCCACTGATTTTTGGGGGATAAATTGTTCTGTGTTTTGGTTTAATTTTGGTACAGTTCAGAATCACAATCAGAATCAGAATCTGCTTTATTGGCCAGGTGTGCTGGACACACAAGGAATTTGACTCTGGTACAGCAGCTCTCAATGCGTATGCTCCCATAATATGTTAGAAAACATGCCAACGTATTTTATGGGTCCAGTATTTCATAATAACGTCTTAAAAGTTTGCTACAAAGAACCATGTAGTTTGTCTATTTTTCTGTAAGTAATACCAACATTAAAGATAAAGGATAAATGTTAACAATAACGATAAATCGTTAGTGAAAATATAAGCAGGAAAAATGTTGCCATGGACTCAGTGTGTTAAGCTGAGGGCTACAACTTGGTCTCATTTTTTTTTTTACCCCAAATTTGTTTACATTTTAGCAAGCTGACATCATCAAATTATGCCGAATTAGCCATTGACAGTTTTGGTTTGGATTACTTTGATACTCTAGACACAATGTAACAGTCGTCTGGAAAGTATTTCTAAGTAATGACTTGTTTATTCCCAGTGGACACTGAGGATAATAATACCCTCAGTGTAAATCCCACTGAATATGTGGGTCATCTCTGTGTGAACATTTGACTGCTGTGACTGCGAAGCAGTGCTGTTTTTGATGAAACATGCAACAATCGACATGTGGTTAAAGTGACATAGTCCTGTCTCTCTCTACAATTTAAAATTATTATGCAAAATAAAATACAGTAACATTTCTGGATTCTTTTGGAATTCATAGAGAAAATAAAATAATGTGAAAATGAATTTGTCCTGTGCATGCACTAGTATCGTACTGTATGTTGCACATCAAAAGTCCATTAACGCTTCCTGTGTGTTTAAGACTTACAGTAAACCTTCGTTCTACGTTCTCCGCTGCAGGATTGTGGTACACCAGTAACTTTGGAAATGGGGAGGGAGTCTGATGTCTAATGGGACACATAGGACATGCTTCACCGGTCCTATAAGCCTTGAGAGGCTCAGGTGTGGTCCACTGTTTTACCTTTATGCCTGGCCAGATATCTTCCCAGAACAATGATTAAACACAAGGTGACAAAGACCACTACGGCCACCACTCCTCCGATCAAGGCGTGGTCAGTGCTGCGCTGCCCCAGGGCATTGGGATCTGAGGAGACGGAGAGAGAGAAACACAAAAAGAGCAGGTGAAGGCACCGGCTGGTGAGGTGAGGGCAGAGGAACAGCAAAAGGCTGATAATACAAAATAGAGCAAGGACGAAAAAGAGAAGATTATTTCCATTTTGTTCCTGCTCTAATGATTGTTCTAAGCTGCTGTCATTCATCTCTCCTTTCACATCATGCAGTCAGAGGAGAGCTTTCCTAGCTCTCTGAGCATAATGAAATGGAGAGAGAGAGAGGAAGAGAGACAGGCACCACACTGACACAATGAGTGGCCACAGGCAGTCACAGATTCACCCTGCAAAATGAAGCAAAAAGAGAATGCAAGACAGACTGACAAAAAAAGAAGTGAATAATTCAGGACCACCCCCACGGTGCCGCAGGAGTCCCCAACATGCAAAACAGGGCAGCAGTGGAAGAGTAGTACACAGTAAATAAATCATCACAAGGAGACTAAAAAGGGAAGATCGGTATTTTTTTCTGTTTCCTGATGAGGAAGGATTGTTCTTAAGAAAATGAATTAGGTGTCAGAGAGTTGCTACAGGTCCTCAGCTGTTGCAAAAGCAGTAGAAACGAAGGTCGAGTCATGAAAGAGTGGCGAATCTGCACAATGAGCTTGTTCACACCTCATGCAAGAAACCATCAAAGGTTTCTTTCTCTTTCAGCAGTAGCTTATTTCCTTTATTCACCTTGACTTCCAAATTTACTTTTACTCAAAGTCTGGTTTGCAGGCTATTTGAGGTAATGACGTGACACTGACAATGTGTGGACCTTCACTGCAGGTGAATTTTAAAAAAGCTGACAGTGACAGCGTTGGAGGAGATGGGTAAGGGAGTAGCCTGTATTATTCATATCAGTCCATGACACCTGAGAAATTAGCACCCATCTCATTATTGTCCTCTGAGTGCCAGGGGATGCCATATACAACCCTGTCAGTTCATATACGTTTCTGGGCTAGTAACTAAAACATGGGGATGTCTGAGCAAGGTGAGCAGTGATAGAAGGGTAGTTTAGACATGCAGTACGACACTGTTTCTCTTCAGTATTCTCCTTCTCTTTCTGTGTCCGCCCATGTGGCCAAATTGAACAGCTGGCTTGCTCTCGCTCCACAACTCTCCGTCGTCTGAGTGACCAGGCCGTCACACTTCACTGCCCCCCAGTGGACAAACACACACTCATACCAACACAAACGCTCGTACACACAGATGTGCGTAGCGTGGTTTCACTGTGCCGCCATTCTGCTTGGTCAGTGGAGCAGAGCGTGGAGGAATGTTCCCCTGGCACGGCCCAGCAGGGCAAGGACTCTGGCGTTTAGTTACACACATGGCTGTGTCTCGTCACCTCTATCTGTCAGGACAGTGAGTGTTTTTTACCATCATACACACCCACTGTCTGTTGCCATGCCCATGCAGTCGTATGTCAGCCTCTGGAGTGCTACACACACTGTCCATGCAATATGCTGGTGTCAAGTGTGAGCCGTTGGACTGTAAGCCAAACCACTTGACACTTTCAGAACATGATCCCGCTGCTACTGCATCATGTTTGACCTTAAAGGAACACTCCAATGAAATCTACCTTCTGGGTAGAAATGAAAGGTTTCTCTGTTGTCTCAGTTGTAGTTTTGTTGTTCGTGGACTATAGCCACAGAAGATTGTCAGTTGTCACCGTGATTGGTTAAATGTCAGCCTCTTCACACCTGAGCTACTAGCATTACAAGAACAGTGTGTAAACACAATCACTGGTTTAGAGGTAAAACAAGCACTTCATTTGATGGTTTAGGGATAAAACGGGGACTTAAGTGAGTGGACCGTGGGCAAAATGATGAAGATGTCACATTTCCACAAGATTCTGCTTCTGTACAGTCTGCTCATACAGTCTCTGTTACTGGTTGATTGTAATAATCACCTTTAATTGACCAAGTATGTTACACACAAGGAATTTGTTTCTGGTACAGGTACCGAGGCAGCCATCTGTGGCGCCAACTCACACCGATGGCTCTAACCACTGGGGGCAACTTCGGGCTTCAGTGTCTTGCCCAAGGACACTTCGACACGTGGACTGCAGGCAACGTGATTCAAACCTCCAACCCTCCAGTTAGGAGACGACCGCTCCACCCACTGAACCACAGTCGCCGCTGTTTGCAACACAGCAAAAAAATAGTGGAAAAGCAAAGCAGGACGGTCCGTGTCAACCTGGGCGATGGTTAAAGGAAGCACAGGGTGTACCGCTCGTTAGGTTCCGACAGTGAAAACGCAGCTATTGTGACCTTAATTCATGGCAAAAATGTGTCAAGGGTCATTTCTGTTTCACTTATTTGTAGGTTCAGTATTTTCCAAGTGGTCAAAGATTTTCCATTGCTAAAAAGGCTTCTTACGTTATATGCTGTTGCCTTCTCATAGTTCCAAAGCTCTGCTAGAAATGCCCTATTTATTGATTTGTAATTGAGCTACAATTGTATGCCACATTCTGAGCACAGAGATCAGTGACAAGGAAGTGAATTATGATATAGTAGTGGATGGGCAGGTTTCTGTGACTGGTTTGATGCTTTTTTTGCCTTGACTTTGCATTTTGTCATTTCGTAGCTACTGTGCAACTAGGGTGACTACAACTGGAGACAGCTACACAATTTAAACAGAAACACCACTAATTCAGTCAATACTATATACTGTATGTGCATAAAGGTTCTATGAGGCTTTTGCCGGTCCACAGAGATGCTGGAAGTCAGATTTCACTTGAGCCAGTATGGCCTGTGTTTGAAAAGGAAAAAAATTAGCATAAGGCATCTTTCAATCCAACAAGGTAGTATGTGTTACTCAAGATTAGATTTCACTGGAGTATTCGGTGGAGTATGAAGCAGCTGAAGCTTGTGACACAATGCCCTGATAGCTTACAAAGTGTAAATAGAGTTAACTCAAGTGTGTTGGCCTTTAGGTGCAAAACATGGTTTATCTATTGTGTTCTTATGTATTCTGTTCTGGTCCACTGCTACTCCCAGAAGGAGAAACAGCAGCAAGGGCATACAAAGACAAACAGAGAAAGGAAATGAAAAAAACCAGAGGTTGATGGACAGGAAAAGGCTGAAATTTCAGTTGGACAAACACAGAAAAAGGAAAGGAGACACGGAGGAAAAGGGACTAGGGTGGAGGGTTATACATTTTTATGGCTCAGGAACACATTATCCTTTAATAAGGGCACATACATTTTTCTCCGTGTGATTTAATATGAGAGTGTGGCAGAGCAAACTCTTCTTTTAATATTTATAACACTCTCCTTGTCATCTGGCCTTGTGAGTTGAGCTTGTTTAATAAATTAAAGGGTTTCAGAACTTCTGTGAGCCACTGCTTGGCTGGACTGAACCAAAGGTGTTAGTCTCGCGCTGCCCTGCTAATTCCTTATCTGATCTGTTTCACTGACGCTGGGTCCAGAGGGGGTTACTGTGAACGGATATGTGATAGTGATACTGTGTGGAGGATGTGTAAAGGCTGGAGATGGAAAGAATATAGTCCTATTATCTGGTCAGATTAAATGACATTAATCATATTATCACATTTCTGGAAAGAATGTCAAGCGGCACATCAGAATAAAAGCATGTGTGATAGCTGCTCTGTGTTTTAGGTCAAACTTCCACCATTCATGACATAAATGTGACTAACATAAAACTAGTGCTAGTCGTTGATAGACCCCAAAAAGTTGGTACGTAGATTAGGAAACAGTGTGCAAAAGAATGTTATTAGTTAAAGTGAAAGCTCAAATATTCCATCTAGTGCTCAGCTGGAGAGAAATGATGAGCATACAAAAAAAGTCTGTCCCTGCTTCACTCACTTTCATTTCATGCTAACCTGCTCTGACCTTAGTTTCTGCACAACCTTACAGTACATGAATTGGTAAACTCTAATTTATGTATCCCTGCATAAAAACATGAATGGAAAATCTATGAAATATCTAAGAAAGAAATCTGACTCTAGTGGCTGAGCAGTTGTACTGTAGTACAAAAAGGTGTGACGCGGTTGGTTAGTTGACGATGATAGTTCTTGTTAGACGGATAACGTACTGCATGTCTTTCTGTAATCTGCCCTCATCACATTCTTCAAATGTCATATTCATCATCGGGTCTGTAGAACTTCATAGGATGTTTCCCATCATGTAAAGAAATGTTATAGCTAGAAATTAGAAAGTATTGTATTGGCGCCAATATGAACATTATTCACTGGATCAGTATCATATCCAATTCTGATCCTTTTCTAATTCTACTGTCCTATATGTGAGCTGATTAGGTTTTGCGCTACTGTCCTGTGGTGCTACGACAGCTGCCTTTGTTAGTGCTGCATTAATAAATAGTCAAAATGGGATTTTTTTATTGGACTGGTTACACAGTTTGTGTAGTAGTAGTTAGTATCTGCCCTGTGATGAATCTATAGTTCTGAGAGGGTGATGTCCAGCTTCCAGTTATTCATATAAAAAATTTAAGATAAATTTAATATTTTGAATCCAGGACCTGAGCCAGTATTTGGATAAAGCTCCTGAAAAATATACTGTGCCAAATTCATTTCAATTTCAACATGTCAGATATTTAATGAACATCTACTGTAGGCAAATATAAGTATTGGATCGTATCAGCAGATACTTGGTATTAAAGTAACTGGATCGGTAGTGGGGCAAAAAAAAGGATCAGGATGCCTCTAGTTACAGCATCTCTTGGCCCTGACAGTAAACCATATCTGCACTGCCTTTCATGTAAAACCCTCTAAATCTTTTATATTAACAATCTCAACAGGACAGTGTCCTTGAATCTGATGTGCATGCTAGCATGCTGATAGTCAAATGGTGTTTACATACTGTAGTTTAACATACATCTCTGTATCTCCCTCTCTTTCCCCCTTGGTAGGACGCGTGTTAATATTAAAATTCATGCCCTACAGGCATCTTTTTTCTTCTTTCGGATTCTGCTTTTTTCTGCTCTGTGAAACAGTGGTTGGAGTTGCTCAGACC